AGGGTTTTTTTTTGGGGGGGGGGGTTAGAGGAGACTATGCGGACTGTGGATTATGGGTTACCTCTGGTACACATAGGGTAGAAACCCATAAACAGATCCTCTTTTCTTCCTATTCAACTGGTCTAGTAAACATTTTATGATATAAAACTAAACAATGAATTATTTAACATTTAATAGCATATCAATTTTTTTTATTTTACTATATAATATTATAACTCGCATCAAGCTGGATGTGGAATCAGGTGTATCTTATCGTAGTGGTAATTTTAATAACAGGGAAAAAAAGAGGGCATTTTTGGGGCATGAGGACAGGGGCTTGACCCAACCCCAGCTACCCCCCTCGTGCACGTCACTGTAAGCTAGTAATGATATGAACTTTATATGAATTGTTTTCTGTATTGTATAATTATGATCTGTGCAACCAGTGGCACAGCGGCATATCTGCGGACTTACAGTAGAAACCGGGTTTCGATACCCGTGGTGGGCAGAGCACAAATAGCCCAGCGTGTAGCTTAAATTCAAACGAACCAACAAACAATTATTACAGAGCAATAACCAATCCGAAGAGCCTAAAAATATCTCATTTTAAATACAAAAAAAGTAACAATTTTACGTTTATAGCTAAAAACAAACAACAACAACTACTTCTGGAAAAGCTTGTGATAACCAAACTGTTCCCTAACGAACGCTTTTGTACTTTTGTGCGGATGTTTAAGTAAGATGAAAACGTCATGTGTACTGTATGTGAAGTTTGTGTCCCTATGACATGCGTACACAAGTCACGTGCCGTTACAACAAGCGTGTGGATTCCGAAACATTACCCTGAAGAGTGGCTTCGAATTTACTTTTTTTTTTAACCCATGTTCTTGAGGGCATCAGGGCGTATATGTCATACGTTTACATATCGCCCGAAGCCACAGATTTCTGACTGTATTTGTTTATCACGCTAAACAGCGTACTAGCCTCTTTGCCGTTTGTGATTGGATCGGTTTCTCACTTGTATCGTTTGACCGTGAACCGCTACGGGCCCAATCAACAGGTATCTGAAATTTCTAGTGGCGTCTCGCTAGAGGGCGCAACCGTCAACAGAGGGATCTTTGCTATGGACGCGGTCAGCTGTGGCGGGAATTAACACGGTTTTATATTGAAGGCTGGAAAAATTATTTTAGAAATTATGAAGTTAACCTAACTGCTGAAACTTAATGAAAAGAGGTTTTAAGAATCTACTCCGCAAAAATATTTTGATTCGTGTTCGTGCTTGTGGTGTTTTCGTTAGTCTTAACAAAAAAAGTGCCACGTATTCGGAGAGCGTTTTATGGGTTTTCTGAGCGCACCTGGCCCTAATATTCGAGTAGCGTTAGACAGTGGTGGAATTGGTCACGTGGTAAGAGAGCACAGTTGCCTTGGTACAGGTAAGTGCGAAAACAACCAAATTTTATTTACGTTGTTTGTGTGTAAACGTATTCTAGATAATTAATCCTGAAATAATCGACTTGTTTCAATGCTGTTATCTACGGCTGAGGTCAATATATTGCTTCGAATTTCATATTTTTGACTGTTACAACATTGACTAAGAAGTAAATGACTGCCCCAAATCACTCATTGTCTTTGGAAAATACGTAGGAAACCCTAGCAGTAATTAGTAGGGTTTATTGCAATACTGATGGTATGTTTGATGCTTGTTTTACTATGTGAGTATGTATCACTTGTACGCAGAGCACAGATAGCCCATTGTACAGCTTTGCGCTTAACTACAAACAAACAAAAAAATCGTATGTTGCCAGGAGCCCTGCAAACAGATAGTTATGGATTCACAAGCAATTTCGTGCATAAATAGTTTAGAAAAATTATTGTGTTTAAAACACGACGAGAGCCGTAATTCTTGTATTATATGTATCTGTTTTTTTCACGATTCTGATTCATTTGACATCACGAGCGGCGCGAAGGAAAATGTTTTAATTTCTGAGCATCTCTGGTCCTGATCAATCCCAAATTGCTATTATGTCAACAAGAACGATGCTAGGAATAAATAGCCGTACTTAATTTCACGTTGAAAATATTTTAAAAATACTTGAACTTGTTTTTTATTGTTTTGCTGACGTTGATTAAAATGAACGAAAAAAATGACCCGTTTTTTACCGAACACTACCAAAATACGATTATCCCGAATACCTTAAAATGTTTTTAAACGTCAACTTTTAAGCTAATGCATATTTAACGTTTACTATAAGAAGACGCTAGATTTGAGGTTTAGATTTTTTTTTTGACACTCGTATTTATACATTACGCA